TTCTTCTGCTTCAGTCTTCAACCGAATCCTTCTTCTTCTTCTTCTCTTGTAATCCTTCTGTCATTTGGATTGCTCTAAGCTAGGATTCTGTCAGACTGTAACCAATAAAAGGAGGATTCTGTAGCTATGAGAAGCAATGGCTATAGAAAGACACGAGAAAAACAGGGTAAAGGAAAAGGAAGGGAGAAAGCAGAGCAAGTAGCGGAGGCAAAAAAGTACGGTGTGTTAAACGATTAGATTGTTAACCTTTGAGCTCCGATAATTAATCGCGGACGCCAATGTAGTCAAAATCCCGATTTTAATCTTAAAATCTTACGATTTTACGATCTTACCTATGGGTTCCGATCATGATTTTATTGTAAAATCTTTGAACCTTAAAATCCCATAAAATCCCGATTTAAAACTCTAAAATCCTTAAAATCTACGATTTCTACGATTTTGTACGATTTCAAGGTTCACATCAATTGGAGCAAAATGAGGCTGGTCAAGTCCGGTTCTATCCTTAAACCAAGTCAAGTTTACTTCTCACGACCCAACATAATGAACAACGCAACCCTAACCCAATAGACAACACTCAATTTATTTTCATTCTCTTCCTCGTAACTTCCTCTTTCGCACGTCGACACCCAACTCCTTCCTTCGACGATATCTTCCACTCTCCCAATTAGCTTGTAGGTTTTTCCCACCACCCTCACAAAAATCCAAATCTCCATTCCATTGCAATCTTTCGTTCATCTCTCAGTCCTTCAACAGCACTATCCCCGACCTTTTATCAATTAAGAAGGGAATGCACCAATCAATAAGTTATCTTTGTGATCAAGGAAATATGGTTAATGGTGAAAGTATTTCAAGTGATCTTAAGAGTAATTATATTAGTCCTTAAGCAAATAGACAAGGATGAGAGTTAGAGTGAGAGTGAGGGTGAGGATGATGATGATGATGAGATGAGTAAGTGATATTAATGTTGATCCCTAACGATCTTATGTAATTTTCTACTCTTAACTATTAATTAACTGATTTCATTGGGGGTTTCAGGTTGCTTATTTGTGTGTTTATATTATGTACAAGAATAGATATATGGATTTAGCTGTATTTATTTAGCAAACAAACTTATCTTGGGAAGTAATTATGTTATATGTGGTTGATTGTTATTCAGGATATGCATTTTTATTACTTAAGTGATTATTTAATATGAACCTTAAAATCTTACGATTTTACGATTTTAATCTACGATTCCGATTCTACCTTAGTTTTCGATTTTACTTAAAATCCCGATTTTGACTGCATTGGCGGACGCAGTATAAATAATATAGGTTTCAGGGGAGCATTGTGTTAAACGAGTAGAAGTAGGAGATTGTCGTGCGGTGGACGGCGGAGAGACCTGGATGGCTGCAGCCAAACGGGTATATAATTGCAACAATAGGGAGGCCGGAGAGCTTGGCGAGCTTTGAGACGAGGGATGAGAAGGTTGTCGATCGGTGGACGGGGAATATTCGGGTCTCTCCGCCGACGTAGAGGAGGAGATTGTCGTGCGGCCTTATAATTATCTTTTGTAATATAATTAAATTTTATTAAATAGTTATTTTGATAAATCATATAGCCAAAGTAAAAGGAATGACGACGTGGATTTTTTTTTTAATTTCCACGTCATCTAGTTAACGGTCAAACTTTATAGTTGACTGCCACGTAGGACAAATTTAACGGAGTGTAACGGTCGATGACTAACGGTAAACAATTCATCTATCTATATCTATCTATCTATCTATCTATCTATCTATCTATCTATACTATATATTATGACAATTCAAATGCAATCTATTGCCACATAATCACTTGGAGGATGCACAATTTGCCAAGTTGGACAACTTTTTTACAAACAAAAAAATTAGTTATTAATGTATTTATGGAGCTATCTCTCTCTTCTTTAATATTTCCATTTCCATTTCTTTTATCTTTTTTTTTGCTTTAATAATAGGTTACATGTTGATAAACTTAACCAAACACACATAAATAATAAATTTTATGTCCAGTAAAAAAAATATAAATAAGAAAATAGAAAGTAGCATATGCCACATTTGTTTAAATAAAAAATATATGATTAAACCTTATGAAGTAAATTTTTTACTCATTTTTACTAAAATTGAATGATAAGTTACATTTTGATGAAAAAAAATAAACAAACATACACATAAACAATAATGTTTTTTATTAAACAAAATTTATATGAAAAGAGAGAAAATAAACATTTGGCATTCAATTACCTAGGGAAAATAAACTATATTACTTTATATTTTGTTGCAATGAAACACTCTCTTATTCGTAAATTATATGTCTATACTCTATAAAGTAAAACAAGTATATATTATTTAGCAAAATTTTTTAGTATAATTTTTATAGTGTAATTATAGTTATTTACTTAAAAAAGACTTCTTATTCCTCGGATCATGTTCTACCTTAAACTCCTCAAATGAAGAGAAATTGCATGTGCAATAATTTTATAAATAATTTTATAATGTGTGTTGAGTTCATATTAATAATATTTGTTCTATATCATGTTAATTGAGCAAGCTCTATTGAGGTCCTAAGTCGTATGCTAAGAAATTTTCTTTCAGACGTGGAGTTATCGTCAACGATTATAAATCAAAATTTTCAAAATGACTTAAGTATGATTGTTGACGAACTTTGACTTCATACCCTAGGATGAGAACAAGATTCCTTAAAAAATAACATAAAGGAAGGTTAGAGAATCTTTGTTGAGAATCTACGATAAACATCGCGTTTCATCAACTACTAACCTAGACATTTACCAAATAAAGGTTGACAATTTTTAGTAAGATAGTCAATTGGGATAAACATATTTATCCAACAATCAAGTATCTTTATCCAGTAATCTCAACTCTCAAAATTGGTTGCCAGTTCGTCAAAACTCGAGAAACACGAATTGATATATGTTGTATAGATAATAAGTTAATGCAAATAATCAAATGAAATCCACCGATATTGTTCAAATGATAAGAGATTTTAAATGCACTTGAAATATGTGTGTATTGTAGATGCTCTTTATCAAATATTAATATATAAGTGATAAAATCTTTGAAAATTACACATTCAACGACCATGTTAAGACCAAAATCCTCGATAGTGTATGCGAGTGTCTTAGATTGATATTCTAAGCCAATATATAAACAATGACCACGGGTTGAACTTCAAAAATTAACAATTGATACATATTGTATAATATACTAAATTTAAGTATCTTCATAAATAAAAAAACTAACATCCAAAATGGAAATGAGTCGAGATTATAGAATTTAGTCATCACGAGGGCTACGGTGTGTGTCAAGTTTCAATATGGATGAATAAATTGATCCAATAATGAAGTATCTTTACTAAGAATTTCTCACTAAAAAGTCCTAATCTTTACAACATTGGTCGAGAGTTCGTCCAAACTTGAGGATCATGAATGTGTATTGCATTTCCAAAGGACCTAAAATCCCAACCCTTTTCGGGGGCTAAATACCTCTGATCACAAATAGGTGCCAAAGAAGAATGAAAAGAAGCCCAAAAAATTAAAAAAAAGAACATAACCTCCGATACGATGAACAGAATAAAACTATATCGAGCTATGATCCTATCACCCCTACCCTTTTATTCTCCATAAAGGGGGCGGGAGGAGAGGATAAGAAATAAATAGCAGGTTCTTAGAATTTGCCTCTTTATATATTACATATGAAACGATAGACAACCTCAATGGTTGTCTGACGTTATGGGGTAAAAGCGGGATCTCTATCCCGAGGGTGGGGGATAGGCAAGTAGCACTTTTAATACGAGTATGAGGCGAAATAAGATAGGTCTGGCGAAGTATCTGGATAATTTTGAGTCTACTATATATTCACACACACACACACACACATATATATAACATCAAGGTATACTATCTTTTGATTTTACTCAAGATACGATAGAAGATATGTATGAAAGTATTTGCATAAATTAGAGGTTAGAGAATTAGGGATTAGAGTTCAACTATTAGAGGTTAGGGTATAGTATCATGCTCCAAAAAACTCCGGAGTCTAAATAGCAAAACTCAATGGTCGTATGGTAGTGTGAACGCAAGAGTATAACGTACTCCTGGTGCACGCTAGCTTGAACTATATATATATATGTGTGTGGTGGTGGTGGTGGGGGGGGGGGGGTGTTCAGGTTGGGGTACGCTAAATATTAGTGTTTTGGTTGACAAATTTTGACATAAGTTCTAAATGGGACGTGACAGAGACATAATTTATGATTAGAAAACCGAAACATCAGAAGTGAGTGTGCTAAATATTGGAAATTTCCAATATAGACATACTACAAACTCTTTTATGAATCAAGAACAAAAAATATTTAGAAGATCCAAAATGATTTAAACATATGAATAAGTTAATTAATATAAATTATAAAATAAATCTCTCCGGCCAACAGGTCGGGTAAAAAGCTAGTAAAGTTAGTGACGAATAAGAAAGAAAAGTAATTTCGGTGGCAAACGTGAAATATTTGTATAACTGGAGTGATCAAACGTGTAATTTAGCCATTAGGAAATACATGCAAGAGTTTAAAATTCGAATTATGATTGACATGAATGTTCACCATATACATCAAGTTGCAATGTCATTCATTTCGGATGTGCTTACCTTACCATTTATGATTAGAATTAACAAAACCGGTAAAGTAGAGGAACAATTTTGGCACCCTTTTATAGTACAACAATAATTCGTTGGTTAAAATGATACGATACACGAAACTAGAAATACAAAAAAAACAAAACTTAAATATGCAATGGTCAACTTGATCAATTAACAATGTATAATATGTCATTTGGTTGCCACTAATCACTATACATATAACTAGTTCTACTTTTTGCTTTTGTATAAACTATAATGCATCCTACCTTGCTATATGTATAAACTTCATTACCTATACTATCTATATTCTACGTTATAACGTACACTTAATTCGAATCAAGTAGCCAAAACCGTTTGGGAATACATCTTCCTGGTCCGAGCATGAAGCACGAGCGCAAGCAACGTCCCAAACCCACAAAGCGATCCCCATATCACGAAAGTATCTCTATAACACAACATCCCCATGCACTTCCCGCCGCCGCCGCCGCCTCCTTCCCGGTGGTAAAAGAACGCGGCCAGGTACCCGAATGCGAAGGATCCCAGCGGGATGTTGGCCACGACAATGTTGTGGTTGAGGCTGAAGTTGGCCGTCCCGAAGAGGTCGGACGTGGTCGAAACGGAGATGGAAGTAATGGCGCCCGTACAGACGCCGATAACGGCGGTGCTGACATAGAGGGCGACGTGGTTGAAGGAGGCGGTGGTGTTGATGACGAGGAGGAAGAAAGCTGCTGCCATCGGCGCCATCAATGCCGCTATGGACGCTGGCCTTGATATCATCATCTTGCACCTACTCCTGCGCGCGCCCATGAATATTGTTCGACCACACAAAATGTTAGTGTTAGGTTTAAACAAGAGTGCTGGTAGGGTTTAAGAAGTTAATGAAAGGGGAGAAGCAAAGCTGGAGAAGGCATTTAATGGTGAATTGGTGATCCATGATTCAGACAACATATAGGGACATGGAAAACCGTATATGTTATGTTTCGTAGGACATGCGTATAGATCATATATGTGGCTGATATTTGTAGCTACAAATTAGTGGGGCATGCCATGAATAGGGAAGTATGAGTTATGTTCTAAAGAAAGAGATGTACAACTATTACTAATTAAAGGAGGCAGAAAGCAAGCAAAAAATTTACAGAGTATTCAAACTCGTTGTTTTAAGACTCCAAAATGAAATTAGATTTCACAAAAATTCAAAACAGACACATTGATGTTACATGTGGCTTATAGTACAAATAGTTTATTTTTACAAGGGTGAAAATGCATTAAAACTAAAAATAAATGTACCAGATGTACAACCAACAGACCCGATTTCGTACAACTAGTTAGAATCACTTTCGGAGTGTTTATCTGAATCAGGTGAGTATGTCCTTGTGTCGGGCTTGGTTTTAGTTTCATTTGATAACTATCATTTATTAGACCTTTTGTTACGCGTATTTATAGATCAAACGAACTTTATGATAGACATAAATAAATTCTAAGATTAACTAGGCATAACTTGAATTCAACCAGCCTAGAAATTTATGGAATATTCGTTATTAATTCAATTTTATGAAACAAATTATTGCTAAACAGTATCAATATTCATCGAAATTAAACATATAAAGAATCAACGAGTCACATTTGAGGCCGCACAATTGCATTGGTTTCGAATTTCTTGGTATATAGAAGGGTCGCTATAACTAGGGCTTTTATTGCAACACATTGTGTGGCAAGGAATCCATTAAAAAGAATAATTAATTTGCAGTAGAGAAAGTCAATAAACACTCATATATATTATAAATACCAAACGGCGACGTATCTCGTGAAAGCAACAATGAACTAACCTGGCCAGAAAGTAGTCAAGAAACGACGGAACGAGGCGACCGAAGAACCCGAACGAAGAAGACAACGCGACCAAAGACGACGTCCGGAGCTCCCCACGCGACTCCGCGATCTGGCCCAAGTTGTTCAAGAAAACCAGCCCAATCGTGGGCCCACACAGATACGCCCCGAAATACACCCAAAACTCCACTCTCTTCACCATCACTCCCACCCCCACGAATCCCTCCTTCTCGTCACCACTGACGTCACCACCACTTTTGCCCTCGCCACTAATAGTAGCAACCGCCGTTTCCATCGGCAACTTCGTCTCACCACCACCTTCCACGACGCCGTTCTCGATCTCCTCCACGTAGTTCATCGTGTGGATTCTCGTACTGCCCTTCTTCTTACCTGCAGTAGTAGCGGAGTCAGAAATTTAATGAGAGATTAAACTTTTACGTTCAAGAGATTTGAACTGGGAGAGGGAAGAGGCTAACTGTTCACCACCTACTATATTTTCCCAACTTGTTACTAGGGTTCGTTTGGAAGTTGCGATTGTTTTGTTGAGATTGTCATTATGCATGTATTTTTTACAATGCATCATTTTTTGTTTTTTTAGCAGAAATAATACATAGATTGTTTCTATGATGTGACAGAAACTATCACTCATTTTGAGTGATTGTTATATCTCAACTTTTAGTTGTGATTGTTGAGATAGTTGAGTTGAGATTGTTTTGTCTCAGCTTTTAGCTGATGCGACATACACAATCACACATACCAAACGTTGTATTCTACAATGCATCAAATTCGACAATACATGTATAATATTATACATGCATTCTCAACAATACATCTATTTAACAATCGCAAATTCCAAACGACCTCTAAATTTATATGTAAGTTTACCTGCCACATGCCGTTCCCATAGCTTTATTGCGACCGGTACGGCCAGCGGCGCCGAAAGGAATATGGATATCCCAATCGTGCCTCTCGAGGGCGACATCGTTCTGGAGATGAAAGTCAAACTGCTGATCACTGAGTAGACACCGGTAGCTATGGTCACGAGGAACATAGCCACCACGCCTCCTCGTCCCATTTCGATTGGGCCCCACTCCACTTCTCCGTTCCGGAGGAGTGGAGCAGTGAACGTCGTAACGAGGAGGGGGAGGAGGGAGCTGAGGAGCAAGTAGGCCTCGGCGGGATTCTTTGAAGAGGGGAAAATGGCGGCGGCTAAGACGGTGTAGATCTTGGCGCTGAGGCCCTGGTAGGCAGTGGAGAGGCCGACGGCGAGGGGCTGGTGTCCGGCGGGGAAGTTTCGGACGGCGACGACGTAGCAGACGGTGTTGATCCAGCAGATGCTGTTACCGGCGAGGACGGTGAGGAGGAAGATTTGGGGGTAGGAGAGGGAGGTGATGAACGTGCCGGTGAGGAAGAGGTACTGAGCGCCGTAGCCGGCGAGGCCGAGGAGGGAGCCGGCGAGGAGGACGAGGGGGAGGGGGAGGTGGAGGGCGGCGAAGCCGGAGATGAAGCCGAAGAGCTTGCCGGCGTCGGAGGCGAAGGCGAGGTTGTTGAGTTGGAGTTGGGAGAGGGAGAGGAGGTTTTTGAGTTGGGAGGAGTAGGCGGGGAAAGTGGTGTTGGTGCCGTTGACGGATTGGAGCCAGATTATTGCCACCAGGCTTAGCCATTGGAGGGTGGCGGAGGTCGGAGGAGGAGGCATGGCGGAGGGTTAATTGTGGTGGTCGAATAGAGGAGAGAGAATTGTGGTTTGGCGGAGGTGGTCTTTATAGGGTGACGGGATTTTTTTTTGTCGTTGTTGAGTTGAGAATGATAATGGGTTTATTATGCGTTTAGATTAGCGTACGTCATTATATGAAGTTTTTTTTTATTTAGACAGTGAATTAATCGAAATTTGGTACATAATACTATATTATAATTTTCAATGGGTGAACTTCGGTTTTTAATTCTCCAAATCAAATTATAAAATTCATTTAATCTAAAAATAATAATCGATGATTTCGGTTCTTCAGAATATATTATAAATATGGACGCAAGAGCACTTCTACTATGCTATATAGTATTGGTGCTTTAATGTACAACTTAAAGTTGTACCATAATATTAAATGTATAAGTTTAGGTTGTACCATAAAACAATTTGTACCATTATGTTATGGTACAACTTTACAACTTGAAGTTGTACCATCACATAAAGGTACAAGTTCAAGTTGTACCATAAAAGAATTTGTACAAACAGTATAGGTATAATCTAAAGTTGTACCATAACGTAAATGTACAATTTTAAGTTGTACCATAAAGGTAAAATCCTATAGCACCAATACTATATAGCATTGTAAAATTTCTCATGGACGCAAGCTTATAAGTTTATAACATACACCAGGCATACGTTAGCCTTTATTGTTTATTATGAATTATATTATGTGAATTGTTTTTATGTTTTTGGTGGGTGGGGGAAGATATGTGGTTGTGTGGCAACCCATGGCCTCCCTATACAAGTACCATCCATAAATGGACGGTTTGTCATTTGGGTACGTGTAGTTAGATGATCGAATTTTGGGCGGGAATTTATGAATGCAGTGAAGATCATAATGGAAGGGGAACTTGAAAGGCAAATATAGTTAGTTTTATTTTTTCAACAATATACACATATCAAAGTTGTATCATTCTCAAAGTTGGAAGAGGTTAGGGCTATAAATTTTTATTAGATACCTAGACTGATATAAACAGCAAAATTTTATCATCTCGAGTTGGGTTAGAGATGACAATTTGAATTCGTCATGTTAGGTATTATATATTCGATTTGACCCGCTATGTTTTGCTGTATTACTCGACCAACAGTAAAGTGGGACGGGACATTCTCACCAAAAAAAAGTGGGGCGGGACATGGATCTGATAAAAATTTTATATCATTTAATATGTTACAATGAACTCGTTTCTTTTGTATAAAAGTTTTCAAACTTTAAATTAAGATGAAGTAGATACAAGTCGGCTAAAAAAAGTAGAATGTAATAATTGATCATTTAATCTTGATCATCATTATAGTAGGTACTTTAACCCCTATATATATTATGACCTTAACTTGGTCGAACAATTTTTACTCATTAGAGATCATGTTCATATCTGAGCTCGCAATAAAACTTAAATGATGTTAGTTCCTATAAGACGTCAATCGATCCAACAGCACTAAAATATTATCGAAGTAAAAAGATAGACATCTGATTTGACTCGTTGGGGTATGAAAATTCAAAACATTACATTTCATATAAGTAGGTGGATAATTAAGCGGTGGAGAAGATGGAAGGTTAATGGTTGTGAGCATTTATATGCAAATAATGAACAATGTATTACGAAACAGTAGACAAACAGAGATCATTGATGACAGACATGATTGTACTCTGATGCGGCATGCATGTTTAATTGGGTTAATTAGGACGTCTTATCGTGATTCATGATTAAATGGTTAGCAAGATTTGTTTACGTTTCACAGCAATGCACAATCGTTGCTAGTGAATTAGCAAGATTTGTGTACGTTTCGCACCAATTCCTATATGCAGGAAGAAAAGGTACAGAGAGGAAAGGGCAAAACTCGATAGAAGTTAGGCTGAAATTTTGAAGATGCAATGGGCAAATTAGAGGAAGAGCAAGCAAGGTCGGGAAATGGCGGCCGTTACGATGCCCTTCGGCTTGTCGCCTAATTAATTTCCTAAACAAGATTAAACATCACCTAACAGATCAATTAATCAATCCGCCGCAACAAGAAGTCCTTTCTTGTGTTAGAGATCAATCCATCTCTACGATTCTGTTTTCTTTGTGAGTGAAGAATATTCCCAGCCGACTTAGCCAATTGTTTGGGTCTTTGTATAAAACTGAGTTTTACACGAAACTGAGTTTTTTTTATTTTCTTTGTATAAAACTGGTCTTTGTATAAAACTGAGTTTTTTTATTTTGTCTACTTAAAAAGGGTTCGGTTTAATCGTTACTGTAAGAATGATAATGTAATTGTAATTACATAGTATTTATTTTCCCTTCGGCTTAAAAACATTTTTTGGAAGCTTAAATGTGACGAATGGAATTTAAATCAAAATGCTAGAAAATCTTCCTCGTCTTATTCCCCATGAGACATGCATATCACTCTCCATATATGTAAATTGTAATGTAATTCCGTAGTATATACTGGTAAAAAAAATTCACTCACACAAATCAAATTTATTATGCGTCAAATCAAAATTTGGGAATGTTAGCGAACTTATAGTTGTTTGTAAATGGTATATGATCAACTCTCAAACCTCTACCAACAACTTGATTTATTGGGAGCAACTGGTTTTTGACATGACATAAGAGCTTTCTGTGAATGAGAGGTCTTCTGTTCGAATCTCGCTGACCCTCATATGTTTCTATTAAGCACATAGTGTTCGTACCTGTGCAAACTTTAAGCCCTTATACGGTGGCTTTCGTTTGAAGGAGTGTGTTAGTAAATGATATGATCCACTATGTGACCTCTCCCAACAACTCGACTTTTTGGGAGCAACTGGATCTTGACAATATACACCTTTTAGTTTGAGTCTAAATTATAATCATAGTTTGAGTACCCAAAAGAAAATGAATATTAGATTCTAATACAGTTTTTGCTTTATTTTTTTGTTATGGAACAAAGAGAAATGTTGAAACACCAACATTAAATATCTAATTGAGTTGAATACAGTTAAATAGATAGTCGACATTATCTTTTTGTGTGTAGAATTGTCTTGAGCGAAATAAACCCATATGGATTGGACTCAAATAAATTGACTCGATTCAAATCCAACCCAAACCTATGTCAAAACCCATAAAAATATATATATATATATATATATATATATATATATATATATATATATATATACATGCGGATTCGATAAAAAATTCACATGGATCATAACAACGATTTAATTAACCAACGAAGTCAAATCATTATCAATCTTAGTATTTACTTTCCCTCTACTTGAAACACAATATAATGAGAACAACGAATCTTGGCCTCCATTTCCATCTTCTCGTAGAATTCCTTGTTAAACTAATCCACTCTCTTTCACATTCCACTAGTCCAGTCCACCATCCAAATCAACCACCTCATAAGTCTTCCACGAAAGAATCTCTCTCAAGGAAGCTATATGAACGGCAACACTTTCCGAAACCCAATCAGGTTATGCTTGACTTCTTATAACTTTCAGTCACGACTGTTTCTTTGCGGATTAGAATATAGAAGTAACGATAAAGCAAGAATATGAAAACAAGAGTGAAACACAAGACACACTGATTGACGTAGTTCACTAACACAAAGTGTGTTTAGCTAGTCCACGGACAAGAGATAGCCAATTTCACCATACTTCGAGGAGATATACAGATTACAAAAGAGTATGAGAAGTGGTCTAACCCTAATCCAATGTGTGGTAAAGGAAAGCGGTTACAACCAGACCCAAAACAACAACCCAAACATGTATCGACCCATACACATAGTGTACCCTAGTGACATCCAGTCGTAGCCAAATAATCCGATTCAAATTGCATCAAACACTTTTAAATCGTACGAATTAGAAAGGTCAGATCTGTGGCAAATAAGCACAGGCATATGCAGTCACGCCGATTTTTCCTTGCCCGAAAACGAAAAAAGTCTATGGACCTGCAGCCGCATTCACACCCCATAACTTTCTTGAACTCTCATCATGATTTTACTCCTAGCTACTCGATCGATGGATATATTTGTAGATAGACAGATAGATGGATAGAAAGGCATGGCCGCCCTATACCATATATATATATATATATGCATGGGTTTGCAGTTGCGGGAAGACAAAGGGAAAGAATACCAATTAAGTAAACTACTACTCTGCAATCTGCATGCATATATATCTTCGTAATGCTGACATCAACCCCATCGTCATCGTCGTCAAGGTGAGCTGCATGCAGACAAACTTATAAAATGATCGATTCTTTCTGAGCCACAATAATAATCCCAACCCCATCAATTTATAACTCTCATAATTATTGCATGACGCCGATCGCTAGCTGTTGCAATCAATTAATTTGAATGTGGGTTGTAAGTTAGGCGTATATATAGCGTGTAGTAATTAATTAGCAGCAGCTTCGTTCAAAGTTGTTAATTCATTTACGCTGGATAATTAATGACTAATTTGTATTCGTACAGATCAGAGAAATATTGGGTATGGCTTTAGAGAGTTATCTGCCTGCAGGATCAAGATTATTAGTGATTTAGTGTATCATTACTAAGTTTAAAGATTCAGGTCGGTTTCTGTTTCATATACTTTTCATGTTCTCTTACGGATAAAAATCGATAAGCTCTTACTAGAAAAGTGTTAGTTAATAATAAGAATATATGTTAGTTCTCAGATTTCCCATAACAAAATTTCAGTTTTATAATCTGAACATGCCGGTTTAATTTAAATTGTCACTAAAATTGAAGCTTATTTTAGCTAGCTGCCGGATATCATTTTTCAACTACCGAATCAATAGTAAGAAATAAGCTACGCAATCGAGTAATTCATAACTTGATGAATGATCATTATTTAATTGGATCTATCAAAGATAATGTCCGTGATAATTGCACACAATATCATTAAATTTTATCTTGTAAGTTGAAATCGCGATTGGATTGGAATCCTGACTACGTCACTGACTACACACGCATGTATCAGCTAAGATCAGTGGCCACATATGCGTAACCAGAGCAGAGCTGCCAAATTCTGGTATAATTTTAGGTGATGTTTACCGGAACAACAATAACAAATGTAGAAGCACATGCATGTTTTCATTTCCATCACAAATTCACACTGACGAGAAGGGGAGCCAAGTTAGGCGCTCGATCCTTTAATACAATGCAAGGTAAAGGAGAAAGTCAAGCATTGCCGCCACTGTGCCACATCAACACTTTTATATAGGAAACCAAGTCAACGAGCGGTTAATTCCACAAGTCCAATTGGTAAGTAAACGAGTTATGGCAGTGGATAAATAAATCTATAATAAAATGTTGTAAATCACATAGTTAAAAGAAAACAACCAACTACTAGACAACGTCATTAAACTCAATCTGCACTTTTCTTCTCGGGAGCGGTTACGGTGCTAATTGTACAATAGTTAGCACCGTCCTAACCAAGGGAAAAACTACTACTAGTTTGAATTAGTAGTGATTTAGCTTAGATGTTGTATTGATTTTATAATAATTCGTAGTGATTTCGTTATTTTTAGTAGCGTTTTTTGTTAGTTATCACGGTGCTAACCCCTATAAGGGTTAGCACCTAATCCCATCACCTTCTACCTTAATACATTTATTATTACTGATACCAGAGACTTAACTTCTTACAACTGGTATACTTAACTTGTTGTGACAGTAATTTTTGACATGACACTCATGACCGAACCTACTTTGACAAGTTTGGGCAAGTACAATTGTAACATCCCGAACCATTTTCCGAGCAAGATATTGTCCGCTTTGGGTCTAGACCCTCACGGATTTTGACTTGGGGTTCAATTCAAGGTGACTTCTCATAAGGTCACTCATCCTTGTTGTACTCCACGCTGAGCACGTTTAACTTCAGAGTTCTCACAAGAACTCGTCCATTTCACCATAAAACGCGTCTTGTCAGTTACGATCGGTTTCTTACCTATAAACCATTGATCTCTCTCGTGCTTTGTCGATGTGAGATTCGCCTAATGTGTTACAATAATAACCAGCCACAATGTCATTGGCGGAACCTACCCATTTTATGGCTAAAAGTTGAGAGAGAAATTATTAATCACCGAGCAGGTGAATATATATGAAAACTTTATGTTAGTACGTGAAGTGACATAGACAATAAAAGAAACTTAGTAGGATACAACGAAAGATGCTTACTTTTTTTGACAAAAGATAATTATATATTAATACGGAAGAATAGATCATTACAGCATGTACCTCAGTTAGGCCACAAAATCAAAAGAACGACACGCTATCGAGTACAATGAAAGGGCCTTGCGAGCCATCAAATGGGCTGGCCTATTATTACGCCGACCTACGAATCAAACACTAAACCCCACGCACTCCGCCAAATAATTCAGCACCTTGTGGAAAATGGCACCTGCTCTGCTATCACGTTCATGCCCTAGGTTGAGCCTATTTATAACCACCTTCGCATCCCCTTCAAACCACACCACCTAAAACCCCTTTGGCGGCACCACAGGATCGCTTCCCAGAGGATCAAGAGTTCCACAATCATGGGGTCATCTATCCTGGGAAATTGAACACTTGTTAGCAAGATGACCTTCCCACCCTGGTCCAGGAGCACCGAACCCCCTGTCGAATGGGACCCATGTCTCTTCGCTCCATCCCACTTACAGACTCCATCCCACCTACAAATTATAGAACCAGCCAAAGAGGTATTAACCACCTTATCCTTAGGCAAGTTAGCCCACTCATTCAATTGCTGATAGTACTGCCTCATTAGAGCTGGAATCGCAAACTGTTTATCTTGAAAGACAACCCAGTTACGAGATTTCCAAATCCGCCATAGAACGACCACTAACGCCATGACTTATTGCGGATTCTCAATGATAACCAACAATTTTTTGAGGAAGAGAGGAAAAGTATGACGAGGGATCCCTTGACCAATATGCTCCACTCCAACATTATCTCACAACGCTCTAGCCACAAGGCATTCCAAAAAAAGATGCTCCATAGATTGGGACTTTGTCCAGCAAAGCGGACACCTAGGGTGGACCGGGACCTTCTTCTCAATAAGGGGTTCCATATTTGGGAGGAATCGGTGCAAGACTTGCCACAAAAATACCTTCAGTTTAGGTGGAATTGAGGAAGCCCACAACCGGATCCAACTCTGTCTGTCCATCCAACTAATAGTCGGACTCCACCTCCCATTTTGCTTGTCCATCAACACAGCCAGATGATATGCCGATTTCACAATGAAAATCCCATCACACGGGGCATGTCAGATTTGACTGTCCTTCATAGCCTGACAGGGTAGGGGAATTGCTTTAATAGCACGATAAATGTCGGGAGGAAACCACTAGGTGAGTTTATCAGTCAACTAGTGGCCCTCAACTAGACAAAACAAATCAGCCACTTGGAGATCACCCCCTTCTGGAAACACCTGAGGGTTAAATAGGGGGGGGGTGGTTAGGATGCCAGGTAGGGATCCAACTGTCACGTAGAGCGGACTCTCCCCCACCACTCCCAATCTACCATCTAAGGCCCCGCACCAAAAGTAGTCGCCCATACAGGATGCTCTGCCAACCCCAGGAAGGACGAGAGCGCGCACTAGCATTGAGGAAAGTGCCATTAGGAAAATTCTTCCCTTTATACACTTGAGTGAGGAGGGACAGGGATTCAGTCAGTATTTTCCACCCGATGTTGGCTAATAAAGCCTGGTTGAAATGCTCGAACCGGCGAAAGCCCATCCCTCCCTCATGCTTACTACGACACATCTTACACCAAGACATCCATCTTATGCGGGAATGCCCATCCTCCACTCCCCACCAAAACCGCGCCACCAGCCTATCCAAAATTAGATAAAGGGTGAGCATGAGTTTAAAGCAAGACATAATGTGCAACGAAGAGTTGAGGCAACTAATTTGATCAAGGTTTCCGACTCGCTAAAACATAACTCCTACCAATGGCCAAGTGTAACCAATGTAAAGGACTGTAGTATAGTGACACAAGTAATAAATATCGAATCCAAGTGTCTCTAGAGTTACTATTACTCAACTTGAGTTCATTATCTAGCAAACTAGATTAAGATAGAATAACTATCTATAACTACTATAGCAAACTACAGTTAAAGTTAATCTAATAACAGGTTGGGAACTCGCTTAGGTATTATTCCCCCTAGCCACTAGCCAGATTAATGATTGATGATCTGTAACCTACTTCACTTTCATTCACAATGCAGAGAATCCTTGACTAAACCTTGAATCTCGACTAAAGAGGTCAAGGTCCTCTTGAGTCGATTGCCTAGAGGGACATATCCTTCTCTAGAACAACCGATCAAGGGATCTGAACTAGACTAAAGCAATCGATCCAATACTATCAATCTATGGTGCTCTATTGACCTAATCAGTTATTCGCTCTCATAGGATCAAAGCAGAATCAATAATCTCGACTAAAGCATAATTGAATCATGAAACATGCATATATTGAATATGAACTCAAGATTATCTTGTAGGAGTACTCCTATAATCGTCCACTCAAACAAACATGGATAGGGTTCATCAAAACCTAAGTGAAGGGAAGTTACCTCATAGAGAAGAGAGAGAATGCATTATAACTTTCCAGATCTTCAGTCTTCATGTCTAGACTTGTTCCTTGAGCTTCAATGGTGAAGAATCCTCCAAAATAGCTCCAAGAATGGCTCTAGATCGCCCTCTCTCTCTCTCACTTTGGTTCTTCCCTTGGGTGTTTGGGAACCAAAACCCAGCTCTCCCCTCCAAAAATGCACAAAACACGTTTTTATACTCGCTTCTAGAAGTTACCCGGTCGGGTATTTCAAATCCCCGGTGGGGTAATTGGACCTCCTGATCGGGTATTTCTTCTGATCAAAATCCCTTACCGGACTTCAAAATCCCCAATCGGGGATTTGGACCGGGGATTTCACACTTACGGGTCCCTTGTCTTTGATTATTCGTTTCTCCCTCGTTCGAACTCCGAATAAGGTGTCGTTTGATCCCGAATGCTTGTAGTCTCGTCCTCTTCCTTCTAATGAAATGTTACTTGATTCTTTATTCAAAAAATGTGTTAGAAATCCATTCTTATTTAGGTCATGCCAAGTTTCTTCTCCTGAGTCGCCAATTGATCTCCAATTGACTAGAAACACGCATCTATACTTCACTTTACGTGCTAGGACTTGAAATGTGACAAAGGAACACAACCTAGCATAAAATAGACCAAAGAAGCGATAATGCAAGCTTAAACGATCAAGAAACAAAAGGGAAAACACGTGCAAATATCGATTCATCAAATCCCCCCACACTTAACTGTTTGCTTGTCCCCAAGCAAACCCGAATCAAACCAATGCAACTCTCCAGACAGCAACAGCAACCCGCAACCCCGATCATTGGTAGCAGACTTCCTAGCTCATTTAGCAGCTTACGAGGTCAGCCAATGCACAAGGCACCTCCTAGCTTCTTCGGCGAGAACTCTAGTCCCGAGTCGGGATCATGCCAAGTAGTGATCGTAGTAGAAGTGATCCGTGAATAAAGAGACTCTCAAAAACAGAAAGATCATGAACTCACTTTTTTAGGTGCTCTATTTTTTTCTTTAAAGATGGGTGAAACCCCTTTTTTTTCTTGTTTGATTATTATTTTTATTTGCTTGCAAAGGTTCCAACCTTTAATTTCCAGAAAACGGGGCTCCCACCTAGCAAAGTTTTTGAGGGAGCCCGACTCTTACCGGCCATGCCGGGAGCAAATGTCTCAAGCCTCGTGCGGGGGAAAGAAATGTAAGGGGGTTGGAGGTAGTAGGTGGAAGTTGGGAATGAATTCTCATCTCCCCTTACACACTTTCACCGATTTCCAAACGGGAGACAATGTTTTAAAATCACAATTTAGAGAACCTTTTTCAAAAATCAAAAAATGATACATGAGTCCATGACAGGTAGAGAGTTATCGATACCACATGATTCATGTGTACTAAGATCACTAATTCACACAATCATCCAACAAAATATAATGAAGAAATGAGACTTCTTAAATGCATCAACATCCTCCATAGTGTTTTCACTACCTCAACAAGCTGCATATCCCTATAAAGACTGTCAATTCAAAGCATACTGAGCAGGCATTTGCAAGAAACACGTACTTGGAGCCCTCAATCATAAAATTTGGACACTGGACTAGGCTCCAAGCACACACATACAACCAAACATTCACACTCAAACATAATGGAACACCCCCCCCCCCCCCCACACACACACACACTTAAGCACGACATTGTCCTCAATGGAGGAAAGATAAGGAGGGTAGAATGAAGTTACCAGATCAAGTGTGAATGATGGTGGACGGGGCAGGCAGTGCATTATGGAATTAGAGAGTATTCAGAACACAAACACCACACAAAATCTAACAAAGGTTGAGTTATCGACTCTAAAATCAAAGAACAAAATTGACTCAATCGAAGAGAAATAGGGAAAGAAATGCAAACCGAATAGTTTTGTTGCCTCCCAACAAGCGCTTCTTGACCATGGTTCCTAAGTTTCGGGCCCTACTAGAACCTCTTTGAAGTTGAGGTTCTCGTCAATGAGGTGGAGTCTCAAGTCACGAGCAGGTGGTATGATAGGTGATAAAGATGGCTCATGCACTCGAGGAAGATGCAGCTCCACACACAAGACCTCTCCTTCATTTCTTCTCTTGTCTAATTGCCCCAAACCAGATATGACAGCATCGTTTAACCACCATCATGTCCACCAAGAGGAACCGATGTCGATGTGGCCATGGTCTGGAAAAGAGACATTGTAAATGGGTCCTGACCAAATAGCTCCTCGAAGTTTGGTGGAGATATTACTTGTAACATAGGGCCGGTGCAAGCCTCTTCCACCCCAACTTCGTCCCCCAGCTTGGACGCCAATTGCTTCCTCAACCCCCCTTCCTTCTTCAAAATGTGGTATCACCCCTAGGAAAAGATCAAGAACTCCTTCTGCTTCACTTTTTTCATCCTCCACAACTTCTTTTCGCACCCTTTCTTGCTCTTCTTCTTCCAGCACGGATTAGAGAGCAAATCGCCAAGCAATTTCTTCGATGAGATCATCTTACATCTCCTCACTCATGACCGTCTCTTCAAAGCTCGGTGTGGTCGGCTACAACAGGACATTCCTGATCATGATCATCACGGGAGCTCTCCGTGACATAAAGGTGATCTTGAGTAAGCTGTGCACAAACTTGGTCAACCCGCTCTATTTGTTTTGCTGAGTGCGGAACAGTCTCCTCCGATTCACAGAGAAAGGAAGGGTCATGAGGAACAACAAGAGGAACAATTGATTTGATTATAAGGTCTATCTTGGGGAAATATCTCTTGGTGTCCCGAACAAACTGCTCCACGAGAAGCCTCAATTGATAGTTTGGATCTGGTAGTGGAGTGTAGCATGGCTCTACAGAATAGCTCGTGAAGGCCACCATGGCTAACTATAGCTCTGATGGCCCTCTGGTTGTGGGAGGAATTCTTTTTGATAAGGAGATTGTTCTTGAGGTTCCCAAGGGTCTGGTTGTTCTCCGTAGTAGGGGGTTAGTACTGAAACCCGAATCCATAGTCTTCTACCCCTTGATTGCTCCAGGAAGTCTCGGGGTAATACCATTTGGGTGGTGGTGGATACCCCCAATGGTTGGAGAAGCCATTAGGACCCAAGTGAAAAGCAAGGGTGGAAAAGAAAAACAACAGAAAGAAAAGCTAACTTAACAAAATTCTGCCTTTCCTAATAATATAGAAAGTCCCCGGCAACGGCGCCGAAAACTTGACTCGTTAAAGCACAACTCCTACCAATGACCAAGTGTAACCAATGAAAGGGACTGTAGTATAGTGGCAAAAGTAATCTAGCAAACCAGATTAAGATAGAACAATTATAACTACTCTAGCAAATTACAGTTAAAGTTAATCTAACTACAAGTTGGGAACTCACTTAGGTATGATTGCCCCTAGCCACTAGCCAGATTAATGATTAATGATTTCTAATATGTTTTACTTTCATTCCCTATGTAGAGAATCCTTGACTAGACCTTGAATCTCGACTAAAGAAGTCAATGCCCTCTTTAGTCGATTTCCTAGAGGGACGTATCCTTCTCTAGAACAACCGATCAAGGCGTTCTGAACTAGATTACCTCTATCGAATGAGGTTCTCAATCAATACAAAGCAGTGAATCGACCCTCGACTATAGCAATAAATCCAATATGACCAATCTATGGTTCTCTATTGACCTAATAAGGTATTCACTCCCATATGATCAAAGCAGAATCAATAATCTTGACTAAAGCAGAATTGAATCATAAGAACATGCATAGATTGAATATGAACTCAAGATTATCATGTAGGAGTACTCATACAATCATCAATAAAAAAACATGGCTAGGGTTCCTCAAAACCTAAGTGAAGGTAAGTTACTCCATAGAGAAGAGAGAGAATTCAGTATAACTTTCTAGTTCTTAAATCTTCATGTCTAGACTTTTTCCTTGAGCTCCAATGGTAAAGAATCCTCCAAAATAGCTCCAGGAATGGCTCTAGATCTCCCTCTCTCTCTTTGGTTCGTCCCTTGGGAGTTTGGGAACCAAAACCCAGCTCTTCCCTCCAAACACACACAAAACATGCTTTTATACTCACTTCTGGAAGTTACCCGGTCGGGTATTTCAATTCCCCGGTGGGGTAATTGGACTTCCTGACCGGGTAATTCTTCTTATCAAAATCCCCTATCGGGGATTTGGACCGGGTATTTCACACTTCTTGGTCCCTTGTTTTTTATTCTTCGTTTCTCCCTCGTCCATACTCCGAATCAGGTGCCGTTTGATCCCAAACACTCGTAGTATTGTCCTCTTCATTCTAATGACAAGTTTACATGATTATTTGGTCAAAAAATGAGGTAGAAATTTATTCTTATTCAGGTCATGTCTAGTTTCTTCCTCTGAGTCGCCAATTGATCTCTGATTGACTTGAAACTTGCATCTATACTTCACTTTACGTGGTAGGACACGAAATGTGACAAAGGAACACAACATACCGTAAAGTAGTCCAAAGAAGCGATAATGAAAGCTTAAATGATCAAGAAACAAAGGGGGAAACATGTGCAAATATCGAGTCATCAGTTTCCTTAGCCGCCGAGGACAATGTCTATTAGGCCTACCCTTGGAGGCATGCAATCAACCTTTCCTCAACAAAACAAAAAGTATCCAATTTAGAATGTGCGATGAGGGTGGGTAGACCCAGATACTTATCATGAACTCCCACAGCTCCCACCCCCAAGATTTGTGCCAGGAATTCCTGGTCAGGGATTGACACATTTTTACTAAAACAGACCTTCGATTTCCCCAAATTAACTCGATGCCCACTTAGTTCCTCATATTCATTGAGTACCTCAATCATATTCTAACATTGTTGCAAAGAGCCTCGAAGGAATAAATATGAGTTATCTGAAAAAAAAAACAAGTGAGAGATCCTAAGGGCCCGAGGCGCCAATTTCACACCCTCCAGTTTTCCCTCTGAAATGGCTTTACGGAGAAGGGCCGCAAACCCTTCCGTTCACAAAACAAACAAGAGAGGGGAAAGTTGGTAACCCTGACAAAGACCGCAAGTGGGTTTGAAAAAACCCGATGGTGTAACATTCATCAAAATGGAAAATGACGACGAACTAAGGCATTTCTGTATCCAGCCAATCTAGGTTTGGCTGAAACCTAGCTTGGCCAGGACCGCAAAGATAAATGATCATTCGACTCTATCATAGGCCTTTTCCATGTCAACCTTTAGAGCCATGCACCCTTTCTTCCCACGATTCTTAATTTCCAGATAGTGCATGAGTTCGTGCCCTAGAAGCACATTCTCCACAATTTGTCTTTCTCTGATAAAGGCATTATGGCCTTCCGAAATTATTTGATGGAGAATTGGGGCCAGTCTTTCAGTCATGATTTTTGTGATAACCTTATACACAAACTGACATAAGCTTATCGGCCGCAACTGGCGAATGGACTCGACATTATCAACTTTTGGGATCAAAGTAAGCCAAGTATGATTGAAGCTTCTTAAAATCCGGTTTGTTCGAAAGAACGAACAGACAACATTCACCACCGAATCGCCCACACAGTCCCAATTATATTTATAAAATTTCCCTGTAAATCCATCAAAACCAGGTGCCTGCTTCGATCCCATAGAGAAGACTGTGCGACGAACTTCAATGGGAATGACTTCCGCCGTGAGGTGCACATTCATTCCATCAGTGACCTTCCGTGGAAGTGGCAAGCCATCCACCCTAGATCCCAAGTTCAAAATCTGATAAAAATCAGTGGCAATATCCACCTTACCCTTTTCCTCCGTAATCCAGTCACCATCATCATTCATTAGACCAACCACAAAATTTCGTTTTCTTCTGGCTCTAGTGATCGTTTGGAAATACGATGTATTCTTATCACCCTTTTTTAACCAACGTACCCTAGACTTTTGCTGCCAGTAGAGTTCCTCTGCCTCTCGTTGACGATAAGATCACTCTCTAGCACTCACACTTCATCCCAATTAATTGGAGTTTGTTGTTTAATGCGTTCAATCTCAGCCTGAAGGGTTTTAAAGTTGCGTAAGGAGTTTGTAGTCTCCGCCCTACTCCAGTGATACAACAAATGACGGAGCCGCTTTAGTCTGGTATAGAGTTTGTACATAGGTGATCTATGTATTTCCTCTTTCCAAACATGGTTCACCATCGCCCTGACCTCCGGATTATCCGCCACCGAGCATCAAATCGGAAGAGAGTTCGATTGTTCCGGGGATAGGATTTATCTGATATAAGAGCAGAGCTCTATGATGAGATACTCAATTGAGTCGAGAGTATAAGAAATTAATGTTTCAATTAATTCTTTTATGATATGAAAACATGTCACAGCTGTTTGTACAAGGTGAAACTTGTAATATTCAACTATTTCTTTTTTCATAATGAATTACACGGATATTAATTTTTTGAACCATATATTTTAAATATTTTATTCATGGGTGTCTACTATATTCCTATGGTATAACATACTTTGGATTTTTCTAGTGATATATCTTTAATTAGATAATGAATTAAATCAAGTTTGATATACGATATCATATCTTGATCTAGTGATAATACCACTAACGTTGCCTCTATGTTCAAATCTCTTTTAACTAGTACCTAACAACAAAATGTAAAAATGTATATCACCTTTATAAAAAGATAATTAACAAATTTATTTATTATAATTAAGTATGATTCTTGCGAATTCAAATCTCAACACTAATTTTCATCCCTCATTAAAAAAAACATTCTACTAGTTAACTTAAACCCCAACCATATTATTGGATAGTATCCACACTTAGTATGAGCCATGGGGTATATGCATATGGGGATCAGATCAGGTCAGTAACCTTATGGTGAGTAACCATGAGTAACCCGTCCATATCTGCATCACTCTTTCTCCTAAAAAGCCTTTAATTTTCCCATCCTTAATCTTTGACGGACGATTTCTCACTCGTTTTAAGTCGATTTTTTTTCATAGTTAGTTCAGATTAATTGTGCTCTTCAAAATGATATCCACTTTGATATATTTTTCGAACAAAAAAAATTGAGCCATTTTTTACTAGTCTATACCATATGGTATTGACTGGTATTCAAATAAGAGCATATTTATGGTTTCAAAAGCGTACCATGGTGGTATGAACAAACCAAGACTGTATGATGGTTGAATACATGATAGTAGAAGTATATTAACTGTCATTTACGACTTTTAACATTATGTACCACAAGATACCACCCGTACCAGGGTGGTATTGTGTGGTATTTTTTAGTCCTGTAATTTGTTCACCCAAAAATTTGTAGATCCAATAGATCATGATGAACTCGTTTCTTCTGTGCAAACGTTTTCAAAAACGAATTAAAAACGAAGAAGATACCATATGGTATGCAGTTGGTACCGAGAGGCAAGATATTTTGTTTTCCTCAAAAAATATTGAAAATGGATCTCATTTAGTAGAGCACAACAAACTTGCTCCATCTGTGCAAAAAAAATTAAAATCCGAGTTAAAACGAAGAAGATATGAGCCGATTAAGAAAGTTATAAAAAATAAAAATGACATTTAATTTTATCTTTAGATCTAAATTTTCTAAATAAAAGATACATATTTAGTTATTGATGGATGCATAATCCATGAATGTGTACCCTATCTTGAGAAGTAGCCAGCCACATTGCCATGACCGTCAACTTTTATTTCCTTTTAAGTTTTAATTAATGCATGTGAACATTTAAGCCCAAAGCCAAAAGTTGATAAACCCAACAATGGAGCACAAATTAAGCAAACAAAGGCCCACCAACCGATATCAGCAAATAGCCCATAACTGTCGCCTATGCAGGCCTCCGAGCATCACCGAATGGAGGTGGGTAGCTTAGCTAGGTGCTGCCGTGCTGGCACCGTTGTCCTGAGTGAGTATTGACTTGACGAACTGCAAAACAGCAGATGCTAGCTCAGCTTGATGCAACTTGTATCCATGATCAGCCCCTTCCACGATGTGCAACTTGTGGTTTGGTATGATCTTCGCAAACTCGTACGCATCTCCAACCGGGATAACCTCGTCTGCAGATCCATGGATGGTCAGCACTCTGGCAGACACAGAGCGATTCACTGCCAAAATTAGTGATGTGCACAAACTAGAACTCAAATGAGAAGCTATCAAAGAGCAATGACAGAACCAAACAACGATGCAGCGAGTTTCATTTTAACCCACCTGCAATCTTTGTCAATCTGCTGGCACGCTTTATGCATATCAATGTTCATTCGATCCATCAAATCTGCTTCAGTGACGCGAAACTTGACTTCTCCTGCACAATCCAAACAAGTTGAGGAAGATAAAAAAGCATTCAGCTTATACCAACTCATTTTCATTCCCTCCTTTGATTCAGTACAGAAAGAGTAACAAACTCACCTGCTCGATTCTTCACATCGATGAATCCTTCTCGCTTGATTCTTTCGAGAAAGTCTTCCCCAAGACGCTCCTTAATGCCCGATTTCAGGTCATACCGGCCTGAGGCATTTACGACTGCTCTTACGTTGTGGAACTTTGATGCATAGAGAAGCACCACACCACCTCCTGCAGTTGCAAATCATCATCATCCAACCACAATAGATGCAGCCTCATTTCAGTACTTGGATTAGTGATTGATCATGTACTGGAAGGAAGCAGAAGAACAACTAACTGAACTAAGCACTAAGCACCTCTGCTATGGCCAAGCATCACAGCGACGACTCGATTTTCAGCAGCAAAGTGTTCGAATACAGAGCGCAAGTCATCAACTTCCTTCTTGTAGTTACCAAAAGCAAATGAGCCTTCACTTTCACTGTTTATTGGAAACCAGACATTCACACACGCACGCCAGGAAAGAAAAGGGAAGAAGGACGATGACCATGAAAGGTGAACTCTTGGTGGAAATTTTTGCTTACCCATTACCAGAAAAGTCAAAACGGAAGGCTGAGATTCCTTCCTTTTCCAATGTTGTAGCAAGATTTACCATGGCTCTATGATCCTGGAGATCCGAAAGTATGAATCCAAATGCCCATTTATTACTTGCGAAAGTGATTGGTTTGTCACAAACTTTACCTTTGAACATTGGAAACCATGGCAGAGGACCACGATTTCCTTGGATCCAGAATCGTGCAACACTCCCACCAGCTTCTCTCCTTGCTTGTTTGGGATTATGACCCTCTGTGGCAGAACCACTAAGCAAAATAGAAACAGAGAAAAGGAGAAGTGGAAAAACGAACGAGTCAAATGTGTGTTAGGCTGTTAGCTAAAAGATCACCTCTTCACCATTAACCAAATGAATTTTGAACTACAATACCTGGGTTTTTGGTTGATCGAGCCATTCTGGAAATCAACTCTATTTTGCTCCTCCTTAGTCCTTACTGCTGGGTTATGACTACTGATATGAGACGGTGCAACAGAGGGGAGGGGAAGTCAAGGAAAGTGTTCTCTTTTAATAAAACAAATTAGGTTGGTCGCATTCGGCCTGCTGCAGTTTGCAAAATGAAAATGAAAATCATAATTCTATGAAATGGATACAGAATTGTAACCATTAGGCGTCTGGTTCCAAATTCTCTTCACTATTTTTTCATATTTTCATTGATCCCTCTGTTTTATTTCTCCGAAAAATGATTAGGCAATCGAACTTAGACATTTTTTTCCTATTTCAATCAAGAATTGGTTATGACAAAAAACGACACGAGAATAATGTGTTACAAAAGTTCATCTTGGTCCAGTTAGCTCTTACAAAACTTCATCTAATACTATAAGAAGGGTGTATGCATCCTCACGTTTGTCTCAGAATTATTGCCAAAACATCTCGGCCCAGAACTCAGAAGAGGTTAGCTTCAAGAATCAGAAGTCAAGAATCGATGCTGATACATGGTGATGAATTAGCTAAATTAATCAAGTTACAGTTGTCAGGACAAGAATACCACCACCAGAGCCACCACCAGTGCGTGATCTATCGACCCAGGAAATACGGTCAGCCGAAACTTGTTCCTTCTGGCGTGTATCTGGTGAAGCTTGTACATCAGACTAGTCTGCATCAGATGCAAAAACAATTCCCACGTTAAAGAAGAGGAACAAGGCTGTCAAATGAAACCGGTCTGTCATCGATAGCTTGAAAAGAAACAAGCTGCATTCGGCTAGCCACAGCATGCTCCGAGGTTGCTAAACCAAGGCATTAATCTATTACAAGCTTGTATAGAGCTTAGTACAAAGGCCTACAGAGTTCAATGTTGAAAACACTAAAGATTGCAGACTAATAGACTCTAGGGTTAAGTTTAGTGACAGCGCAGGTTCCTTGCCTCTTTTTCTTTTTTAAGATCAACTCTCTCAAACACACTTGAACAAGAGTCATCGACTAGTTGATATGAAGAACGGGTGTAGATTGCACAAGGATAAGTCACTAGAACTTTTCAAGTAATGCTGATAGGCAGAGTCATCTTACGAACTAAAGTTTTGAGAGATCGTTAATGATCTGATCATTACCTGGGCTACAATCGAATCGCCACTGTAGATGGTGCATGATCTCTGAAAGCAACATCCTTTCACCTTAAAGTCTGGTTTAGATTGATCTCCCGAATTTTGTCCAGTAAGGAACACCTCAAACTCGGTTCTGCAAAGCGTATTCACGGTCCTTTGAACTCTGAATATCATCTTTTCTTCAGCATCTTGACCTCCTTCAAATCCTTTCCATGACCTCTTCTACAACCAATCAATATACTGCATCACATATTGTGTTAACTCTGCAGACGAAATACTAAAAACTCAAAAGCAAGAAAAGCTTTGAACCTACTAACTCATGTGCATTGTTTGGCTCCCATTTCCAGAGAAGAGCTCTAAGCTAAGTTTTCAACAAGCTCATAACTTTGTTCAGCATGACGCGGCAATGAAGTGTGAACTAAACAAAAACCTACAACTCTGAAGAGCAATTTGCGCAGAATCGACCAATTATGCAGACGAAATACTCAAAAGCAAGAAAAGCTTCAACCTACTAACTCATGTACATTGCTTGGCTCCCAATTTCAGAGAAGCTCTAAGCTAAGTTTTCATCAACCTCAAAACTTTGTCCAGCATTAACGCGGCAATCAAGTGTGAACTAACAAAACCCTGAAAACTATGATGGGCAATTTGCACAAATTGACCAACTAGCACAACGAATTAGCAGGTTCAAAAGCAACTAAACTCCATTGAAATGGAAGGGTCCATATAAACATCAGACGGGATCCCAAAAGAACTCACATCCAGGCGTTGCAAGGAAATCAAGGGACTACCAGAAGAATCGAGCAGAAGCTTCTTGCGGGGTGCCGATGTCTTCCAGGCACTGGAAGTAGGAACAAGAGCGACCCGGAAAAGTATTTCACCAGAAGAATCGGCAAAACCCAGATCGCCCGGTGGAACTCCAGGATGCTTCTTCGAAACAAAGAGGTCGACGGGAATCAAAGAAGCGGCTCCTTGAACAACGGGAGGCGAATCATTATCATCCATCTACAATTCTCGTGCAATTCTTGGAGAACCTCCAAGGGGAAAGAGGAGATGAGAAACCGAGTAGTTGTTCAAAAAAGCAGGAGGGAAAGTGGACGGATGCATTTTCTTTGTGGACTTGATCAAGCAGAGTCAGCCGATGAAGAACTGAGCAGATTCCGGCCTGACGAAGAAACCGAAGATGATCAGATGATGACACCTTGGCGGTTGGCTGGGGCCGGCTAAAACCGTGAAGCCCATCAAATTCATGGGCCAACTTTTAGTTTCTTAATCAAACAGGCCCAAGACATTGAGCCTCCCACTTGAAAGGGCCCAAAAGCAGAGGATATGTGAATGTAAATGTTACGAGGAATTGATATTTTCCGAGAGGAAAATACCTCCGATCGCCGCCTTCCTGCTTCCCATTACAGAAAGAAGGGTCAAGGAATCAATTAACCATTTACCATCTTCAGCACAGAACCAACGGGAGCTTTGCCGTTTTTCCTTCCAAAAGATTTTCCGTTCTCCGCCGCTGCTCCTCCTCCTCCCCCGGCGGTAGAGGAAGAGAGTTCTGTTTTCCCAACGATAAGTATACTCCTCCCGTTTTCTCGACTCCGAGCAGAATGGGGAAGCAGAAAGGAGATGGCGGTAGGAGCAAGAATCGGCCGTCAAGCAGCAGGTTCGATGCTTGGGATTTTTTTATTTTTATTTTAGCCCTTTCTTGTAAAGTAATGCCATTCTCTCGCTTAATTAGAGTTAAGTAAGCTGAAATTGTGGATGCAAACGTTTTCTTGTTGTAGTCTCGCAGCTTCTCTGCTGCCATCGGCGTCTTCTGCTGCAGCCGTGGGGTTTGGCGGCTACGTCGGGAGCTCTCGTCTTGATGCTTCAATTTCGGGCGACGACTCCTCCCCCTTTCTGGTGAGCTAACAAACAACACAACGTTGGTTCTGGAGTTGTAAGAAAGTTGTTGCAAGTATGCTGGTGGTCATGGAGGGTTTTACCTGTGGGATGTGAATTTTGCAGGACGTCGACAGTGAAGTTGCACAACACTTGAAGAGGCTCGCTAGGAAGGATCCTGTTACGAAGGTGTTAATCGTTTTAGCTTTCTGTATCTGATCTTTTTGGGGGTTAAGTTGCTTGAGGTTTCTACAACTCTAATCATGCGTTTCTCAACAGCTTAAAGCACTGCAAGCATTGGCGGCTCTCTTCAAGAACAAGTCTGGAAAGGACATAACGCTAATTATACCACAATGGGTACAGTTCTGGTGCCAACCCGAGTCTTTAGTGAACTATAGATGTTTGGATGACTGCTTTACCGAACAATGGATTTGCAAGCTGCTGGATCTGCTACTTGCATTGTTCGAGCAAACATGTTTTGATGAGCAAGTAATGTTAGCAAAATCATTGGTGATGGAGAACTCAAGTCTCAGACCCTGGATGCGTTGGATGTTTTGAGGCCTATTGCCACTAGCAAACCCTTTTGGTTTAACTTGAATTATATTAGTAACATTGTTCCTGGTGATGGAACAGTAGTTGTGCTCTTACACTTGCATAGATACCACAACTGAGAGCAGAAAAGATGTTTAATTGTCTGGCTGTTTAGGAGTAATGCTATGTCCTGCATATAGTCTCAACCATAGTCTTCTTTGATAATTATGAATTTCTCTGAGAAAAAGTTTGCCTTTTTCATGTAGTTTTTTCATTGTAGTATTCGCCTATGTCAGGTTGAGAACACATATTTTCTTTGGCCTTGAAAGTTCCTAGCCATTGATTCTTGTTTCCTGGATGATGTAAGCTTGGATTTCCTTCAATTCACTCTTATTCTCTTCTCATTTTTCGTTCTGTTCTTCATTTAGGCATTTGAATATAAGAGGCTGTTGATGGATTACAATAGAGAAGTTCGACGGGCAACTCATGAAACCATGACCAATCTTGTTGCTGCTGTTGGGTAAAGACTTTTCTTGTAGAACATAGGTTCTGATGTGCTTTCTGTTTTAAAAGCAAGTGCTTGGAGATGAGGTTTTTATTTCATGGAAAACTAAGTTGCCAGTTCCTTCTCTGTGCTAGCCCTGGTGCCCATTGTCATAGTTTTCATGCGATAGATTATTTGTCCTCCTTAATTCCTTCTTTCTGAGAGGATCCTTTCTGATCTATTATAGACACCCTTGCTAAGATTTCTGACTTGATACCTGTTTATCTCAGTCGAGATTTAGCTCCTCATCTGAAGAGTTTGATGGGACCATGGTGGTTTTCTCAATTTGATCCAGTTTCTGAAGTTTCCCTGGCTGCAAAGCGATCACTACAGGTAAATTCTCATGTTTATGCTACCTGTGAACAGTTCACTCTGTAGACCCCATCACTAAGCTATATGTTGCGCAAGATACCCGTTATGACTATAGCTTCCGGGAAATAGTTTAATTTGACTCGACTGGAGTTATGTAACTAGTGTTACTCTGCGGTATTTAGAAGACAGCGTCTAATTTGGTAATTAAATTGAGCTTAAATATGATATCATGATTTATGTTGCCTGTGGATGGAGAACCAAGCTAGGTTGGATACTTGTATTGCAGCATCAGTTGAAAATTCTGATCAAGGTTGCACCTTTTCTTGGTAACTAAATTGAGCTTAAAATTCTGATCAAGCTCGTGGAGTAATATTGGTTGTGACCTGGAGCCATAGTGTAGCCTTTGGCTCAATTAGTTGTTTGTTGTTTTGAGCTGGACTGGATAATGGCCAAAAAATAGTTGATGATTTTATGAAGTACTTTAAGGAAACCTTTTGCAATAGGTATTGCCTGAGTAAGGCTTTTATTTTATGGGGGAGTGCAATCAAAAAAATTCAAGAAGTATATCATCATGGTCCTGCTTCAGTTCATTCAGTAATTTAGCTGCTTACTTGTACTATCCTTATGTGTAATTAGGCTTCCTTTCCAGCACAAGAGAAAAGATTAGATGCATTCATTTTGTGCACGGTGGAGATATTCCAATATTTGGAAGAAAATTTGAAGTTAACACCACAAAGTTTGTCAGATAAAGCTGTGGCTTTGGACGAATTGGAAGACATGTACCACCAGGTATACTCGATTTGCTGTTACTTAATGGTATTGGTCCACATGAGCCCAGGAAACCAATTATACTATGTTTGTGTAGGTTTTGAATAGCTCTCATTGATTTGAAAAACTTTTGATGCATTTATGGGGTTTATATGTCCTTATGACTGCGTTCAGTTCAGTGCATTAGAGAATGTGTGTTCTTTGTCCCAATCACTTGCTATTAAGTGGACTGTCTTTGTTAAAACCTAGTTGTGTTCAATGCGTTTGTATGAAAATTGTTCTAGAAGAGTCGAAAAAGACACGCGGGACTTGTTGTTTTCCTCAGATACCTCATAACCTCGTGTATTTTTTATGGCATCCCTTTGATGCATATGCAATTAGCTGTAATCTTTCAGTTGTGCTCAAATGCGTAAAAAATCTTTCACAAGAAATGGTCAATGTTACACTATTGCAAGTAACACATCCAACCAAACGACATGTGTATGCTATAAAATTTTACCAGTCATTCAATTAGTGAAGCCAACTGGTGAGCAAATATTTGGTAATTAGTGGTTCACTGGTTCTGTAATGATGGATTCAGAAAAGGGACACAATTTCTCCTTAGCTGAATGTACATAATCTCACCATGGATGAAAACCTCTCTCTACTATTGCTGCTGGTGGATCACTTTTGAAGGTGGAGGGCATTTTTCCTGTTGCTCAGTGTCATGACTTATTTGAAAGATTTCTCTGCTTACAGGCAATTGCTTCCACATTGCTCGCATTGGCAACACTTATTGATGTTTTATTTAGCTTGCGATCTGAAACATCTGGCTTTGAGGATATAGTTGCTGAACCAAGAAATGCCTCAAAGGCTAGGGCAACTGCTACTACCTTTGCTGAAAGGTTGTTCTCTGATCATAAATATTTTTTAGACTTTCTGAAGTCAGAAAACCCAGCTGTCAGGTCAGCTGCATATTCAACACTGAAGAGCTTCATTAAAAGCATTCCTCATGTTATCAATGACGAAAATATGAGAACTATAGCTGCTGCTGTACTTGGCGCATTCCAAGAGAAGGATCCAGCTTGTCATTCATCAATGTGGGACGCTGTATTATTGTTTTCGAAAAAATTCCCTGAAAGCTGGGGGATGATTAATGTTCAAAAGAATTTTTTGAGCCGGTTTTGGAATTTCTTAAGGCAACAATGTTTTGGATCTCAGCAAGTCTCTTATCCTGCATTGGTTCTATTTCTAGACACTGTGCCTTCTAAATTAGCCGGAGAGAGGTTCTTCCTTGATTTTTTCCGCAACCTATGGGATGGCAGGAATCCATTGCGTTCCACTGTAGCTGATCGTCTAGCATTTTTCAAGGCATTTAAGGAATGCTATATTTTTGCTTTGCAGAGTGCATCCAGGTGCGAGTTTGTCATGTGTCATTTGTGCTTTATCCATTTGCTTGATTGTTCATCTGCGGATCCAACTATTTGTTTCACTGTGTTGGAATTAAATCTAGGCCCTAGCTAGTTCATGTGCTCATTTTATCTTCTACTTGTTACCAGGTATTGCAGTGGGGTTGATGCCATGCAGAGATTTAGAGTCACCCTTGTTGGAGATATCCTTGTAAAGCTTCTTTGGAACGATTACCTTTTTTCTGGAGGATCCAATCATCAAGATGCAGGTTCTTCTGTTAAAAAGACAACACCATCTGTGAACCTGAAATATCCCGGGAGTTATTTGGAAGAATTGGGGAAATGTGTTATAGAAATTATTTCTGAAAGCTACTTAACAGAATACGATGTGCTTTCTCCATATTCTGTGGCATTCCGGGATGATTGTGTCGGCATGTTTCAGCAAACGGCGAATGCTGAAGAAAGAGCAGAACATGTTGAAAGAATTATTAAGTTTTTGTCATTACTGAAGCAGTATTCTGTTCAGAAAGGTGAAGCTTGGCCTTTGGTTCAGTTGGTAGGACCAATGTTGGCAAACTCATTCC